CCAAAGAATTTAAATTCCCCTCCATTCAAAAATTGGCTGGTAGGTAAGTCCCATATATTTGTTATAATATTCTGTGTTATTAATTGGTTCGTTTTGAACACGTTAAAACAGTTTTAAAATTAAAAAACGAATGAGGTAACGGTGTCAAAATTGAATAAAATGAATTTGCGATTGGTGTTTTTTACACTAACCAATTGAACTATTTTTACGATATTGATGTTTTGAAAAGAAATTAAATTTATTTTTAGATTTCGACAAAATGATAATTTGCACATTGAAATTTGAAAAATAAATTGGCGAATTAATCTACATTTTCAAGTAGATATGAACATTTTATAAACTTAAAAAATTAGTAATATTTAGATTTAATAAGAAGTTAACAATTACACACTTTAAAATACTTTTTAAAAAACTCTGATTTAATGTGTTAATAACAAATAATATTATAGTAAATTAAATAATAAATAATAGTTTATTTTATTTAAAGATCCAAACAAACAACAAATAGCTTTAAAAAGATCTTGTAAAAACAGGCAAATCAAAACACTTGATTACACGTAATACATAAATATTACAAAAATTGCACAGGTGGTATAATAAATAATATGTTTTATAACAAATTGGCTTATTAAAATTACAATTACAAAATGAATAATTGTAATAAAAATTTCAAAATTGGTAAATTAAATTAAACGAAAAAAAGATACGATTTCGCTACATTTTTTAAATTATTGAAAAAAAACAATATTCACTTTTAATATATGAAAATTAGTTTTATGAAAGTGTCTGTTGATGTTATCAGTGACAAACTTAAATTAAAATAATATTTTAATTGTTTCCAAAATAGTGTTGAAACGAAAAATAAATGAAAAATGATCAAACATGTGTATAAATAATATTTAGATGATAAACATGTTTATTAAAATAAAAACAATTAAAATATTAAACAAATTATTATTATTATTTATTAATTGATTTTTCGATAATAATTATTTTTTTTTAGAAAACACCTATTTAAGCATGTTATTGAACTTACTTTTCATTCAATGCAAAAAATCATCCTGTTCGCATTACTTTCAATTGTCCTCGCAGTTCCTGATAATTGCAAGACTCCAAATACTACAGATGGAAATAATTGTGACGAATGTAATGAAAATTACGTTTTGAACATAGATTTAACCTGTTCTTCAACATGCAAAGAAGGGAAAGTTAATTCAACTGATTCCACAAAATGTGTTGCATGCACAAAAACTGAATGTTTAACATGCAGTGAAGATAGCACTTCTGGCTCTGCTGTTGAAACATGTACTTCATGTCCAACTGGCAAGTACTTGACTGAAGCAACAGGTGATTGTAACGAGTGCCCTTCTGGTAAAAAGAACAAAGAAAACAATAAATGTGAAGCTATTGGAATTACAGGATGTGCCTCATCGACAATGGAAGTGGGTGAAGTAGAGAAGTGTGATTCTTGCACAACTGGGTTGTATCTTTCAACTGATAAATTGAGTTGTGCTGCTACATGCACAATTGGAAAAATGAATACAGAAACCATGTCTTGTGAAGTGTGCTCTACTGCTAATTGTGAGGCTTGCACATCTGATGGAACCACTGAGACTTGTACTTTGTGTGCCAATACTTATTACAAAAAATCAGATAACACTTGTGTTTTGGAATGCCCAACAGGTTACATAAAAAATGAAGAAACAAGAACCTGTGACGCTATAACATGCACTGCTGCCAATTGCCAGACATGTGTAACCGACTCGACCACTGAATGTTCTGAATGCAACACTGATTACCTCCTCCAAATTGCTACTAAGACATGCAAATCGACATGTGACAGTGGCTATCCCGATACAGCTCAAAAGAAGTGTCTTGCTTGTGGTGTTTCTAATTGCAACAAATGCACCACCAGCACCGACTGTTCTGAGTGTATCTCAGGCAATTACTTATCGATTGATAAGAA